GCTCCTAGAAGCAGAAGGAGAAGAAGAAAGCCCAAAGGGAATAGGAAAAGAATAAGGAAGGAAAGGCTTAACCTTTGAGCCCAGGAGTTACTATAGTAACCAACTCGAAGGGGAATATTGACCAATCAGAGGGGATATCAGGACACAGGAACTGCAGCCTTTATAATCCATGGGGGAAAAGAACTCAGGGAGACTGTTCCCTCTCCCTACATGGGAGTCAGTTCTGTGGGACTCTTCCCCCTCCCCACGTGGGAGTCTGTACTTGTTGTTCAGTAAATCTCCACCTTTGCTATACCACTTTCTGTCCGTGGATTCATTCTTTGATTCCAGCGGACAAAGAATCCGGGTTCCCGTCCAAAAATTCGATATCACAAGGTGTCATACTTCAGGATTGAGGCACACTTTCCTTCTACCAATCCCCACACTGTGGCCAGGGAGTCCTCACTAACTACAAATCCACATGATCTTCATGAGGAAAACACTTCTGTGGCTGGTCACTTCCTTTGCCACCGTTCCCTGGTATCTGTCTTCCTCTGACCAGCCTGTCCTCACTAGAACTGCAGGCCTCCCAAACTTCTTGGCAAACACTGAGGAGATAGTGGTGAAGGAGATCAGAGTCTGTTACCCCGGAATTTGCCATTTTGACAGAAAGACTGTTTTGAGCTGAAGGCAATGAGTTCTCTGCCCTCCCCTTTTCTGTCTAAAAGCAGGACATAAATTTCCCTTTGTAAAGGTATCCCCTCTCCCATACTAGGAAGGACATGACCCCAGAGGTAACTCTTATCACCTGAAAAGGATTTTTATTTGTATAACAAACCTTATTGAATACATTTGTATTGATTTCAGAGAGAAAAGGAGAGGGAGAGAGAGAGAGAGAGAGAGAGAGAGAGAGATCAATGATGAGAGAAAAGCATCTCAGCTGCCTCCTGTACTGCCCCCCGCCCCCCACCAGGGATCAAGCCCGCAACCTGGGCATGTGCCCTTGACCCGAATTGGACTCGGTAGCATCCAGTCCACAGGTCGACGAAACTGATCTTATTTTTCCTTTCTCTTGCTAATCTGTCTTTTGTCCATTTAACTTGCAGAACCCCAAGCAATGAACCTAAGAGTAGAGGAGAAAGTTTTTCCTTTCCTACAAGGGCCTCATAGCTGCAGTTCTAATAAACCACTTCCAAGACCCGACTACCCAGGTATCTAGCAATATCTGCCTAAATTCAGACAAAAGCCCTAGGAGGTCACCTTAGGAGGTCAGCATCTGCCCAGATTCCTGCCCCTCACCCAGATTAGACTGGTCGCCCCTCATCATTGTTCACAGATCCTGACCTTCTCCATACAGTTTATCCTACTGTGTCCCAAAGACAGAATTTCTTGCCTGTATTTCCCAACAAACTGTGAGTTCTTGAATGAATATCTATCAATAAGCCAAGATATTTGCTGTATTAAAAAAAAACTTAATTATTCCCTCTTAAGTACGAACCATCAGGCAGCACAGGGAACCC